ACAGATATATTTATTAAAATAGTATTTTGGTCACAGAGCATCTTTTAGAAATGGAAAGATAATACATTTAAATTCATGCGAAATATTTTTAAAAAATTAAATTACAACATTTTATCAAAATTGTATATAGTTTTTGTTTCTTTTGATTTTTGCTTTTTTTTTTTAAATTATTGTATTTAATATTTTCCCTAACATATAAACTTGGGTGTGCTCATTTTTTAATCATTATTTGAATTTGAATTAATTGAATGCGATAGACCCTTGAGATGAACTATCTCATTTTCGAGGGGGTCCCTAAGAAGTACATAAATCAAACAGAGTACATCACGTCATAGCAAACATACAGCTAACAAAACAAACAAACAAACAATCAAACTAACTAACTAACTAACTAACTAACTAACTAACTAACTAACTAACTAACTAACTAACTAACTAACTAACTAACTAACTAACAGTACACTTCACTTAAAACATTTCCCACAGTCTAAAACCTAAGCAAACAAAAACATATAATCAAAAGTACAATTTGATATACAAATAAATAAAAAGCATTTAAATTGGAACCAATATTTAATATAAAATTAGTAGTATTTCTTGTAAGTAATTTAGTTAGATTTTGTTTCACTATTGACTAATCTAATGCATATGGACAAATATAATCTTGTAGGGCATACTATAGAAAGTGAAGTTTATTTATAAACTCATTCCGAGAGGATCACGTGTTTATAATTGCTTGCGGCTGGTCCCGCATTATTTAATTTATGACTCACCAATCAGACGATTTCTAAGCCACTATAAATAATATGGTTAACACTGCTGCCTCACAGCAAGAAGGTCACTGGTTTATTTCTGTGCAAAGTTTACAAATTCTCCCCGTCCTCACATGGGTTTCCTCCGGGTTCCTCCCACCGTACAAAAATATGCAACTTAAGTTAATTGACTAATACAAATCAGCACCATAGACATGCTTAGTAGTTTTCTTTTAAGAGCAATCACTATCTGTTGATTAGCTACTACAGCAGGGGAGTTCTCGAGATCTACCTGAGCTCAAACTCCCCTCTCGCCTTGCAAACGGGAGGGAGCCTCAGGCTCAAGGATCATATGAGCTTTATATGAGTTAGATTAATTAGGCAAATAATTGTATAAGAATGATTTGTTCTGTAGACAATCAAAAAATAAATAAAAATAAAAATAAAAAACTGCTTAGAGCTAATAATATTGACCTTAAAATGGTTTTAAAAAAATTAAAAACTTTTTTTATCCTAGCTAAAAAAAAAACAAATAAGAATTTCTCCAGAATAAAAAAATATAATAGGAAATACTGTGAAAAATTCCTTGCTCTGTTAAGCAACAATATTTCAAAAAGAAAAAAAAAATTCACAGTAGGGCTAATAATTTAGACTTCAACTGTACATATAGCTAAAAGTATTACGATGTATAATGTGATTATACTGCATCCTTTTCTGCCGGGTAGAGATAAACCTAAACAGAGAAAGTAAGACACCACGGGGGAGGCAGAACAATTTATATTTATCAGTGTCCATCCTATATCGAGTCCCTGAGGGAGAAGGAGGGAGGAAAGGGGGAACATTATCCTCTTTACTCGGGATTAAAGCGGCCTTGCGATTGACCCTACTACTTTCTGAATTGTGTGATCCTGATGTGACAGGTGCTTGTGTCGGATGATGCTGGATAGGGACATTAACCCCCTTTGCCCTACACAGTGACATACAGGACTGGAGGACATTAACACTCTCACCTTACACAGACACAGAGATTTACTGCTTTGTATTGTGGCCACTTGGCTCAGCGAAGATGGACCAGGGCTGCCGTCAGGGTAGATTTATAGATTTATTAGGTACAGCCAGAGGCATCCTAAATAAAATGCAAAACAATGCAAAATTCTATTATGGACAATAAGCTAATTTTAAACAACAACAACAACAAAAAATCACCATTATTAACTTTATATTAGGCGACACGGTGGTTTAGTGGTTAGCACTATCACCTCACAGCAAGAAGGTTGCTGGTACAAGTCTTGGCTGGGCCAGTTGGCATTTCTGTGTGGAGTTTGCATGTTTTTCCCGTGTTAGCGTAGGTTTCCTCCGGGTGCTCCGGTTTTCCCCACAGTCCAAAGACATGCGCTATAGGTGAATTGAATAAACTAAATTGGCCTTAGTGTATGAGTGTGTATGGGTGTTTCCTAGTACTGTGTTGCAGCTGGAAGGGCATCCGCTGCGTAAAACATTTGCCAGAATAGTTGGCAGTTCATTCCGCTGTGGCGATCTCTGAAATAGAGACTAAGCTGAAGAAAAATGTACGAATGAAAAACAATTCCATGATTCTGAATCATTACACAGTCTCAGTCATTCATGTGTGACGTTAGATGTAACAAAATATTAAATAGGCTATTTATTATGCTTTTCTTTGAGTCATCTTGTAAATGAATGTCTCCCTGCTCAGTTTCTTATAGAGCATGAATCAGCTCATGAAAGGCTCATTTAAAATGTATTTGCGTCTTTTTTCAGTAGAACATTAAAGACGTTTTATTTTAGCTCACATTGTAGTCCATGGTGATTCATAAAATGCAAGTCAATAGCTACAGCCACTTTAAAGGGGACCTATTATGCGAAAGTCTTTTTCTAAAAGGGGGTTTAAACACAGTTGTGTGGCAACAGTGAGTAAATATATCCACACTGTAAAAAAAATCCTGGTTGCCTTGAATTTTTAAGCTGAACCAAATTAACCTTATAAGTCCATTGAATTTGATGTTAAGCTTACTTAAAACAGCTTGCATAACTTAATAAATTAAGTTAGACCGTGATTAACTTTTTAAAGTTAATTAAGATACAATGAACTAAAAACATATGCTGTCATGATTCGTGATTCATTCTATTTTTCATAATCACACCTCATGAAAACAGTCTGCAGAAACACTTTCTCTTTTTGTGCATGTCATCAGAAGGGGAAAATCCCACCCATATTAGTGACACTCTCTTCCTCATTAGCATAGACAGCCCTGAGTGAGAAGGAGTCGTCCATCTTTAGAGTTTTTGTGTCGTACCTGCATGCGTGTCATGTGAGGGACAACACATTTGTGGATCCAAATGCAGGATTTATTACACAGATAATGATCTGGCAGGCATTTGTCACAATCAGGGGCAAACGGTAGCATACAAGCAAATCCAGAAGGATGGTCAAATGACAGGCGAATGGTCAGTAAAGGCGGCAAGCATAAACAAACAAAACAAAGCAAGGGTCAAACATGGCATGTCGTAATGTCACAAAACAGTAAACAAGACTCAGCACTGGTGTGTGTGTGTGTGTGTCTGTGCTGCGTTTAAAGTCCATGTTATCAGTACTGAACAGCTTCAGCTGTGCGTGTTAGCAATCAGCGGAAAACCGGAACAGGTGTGCGTGTGTAGTGCATGATAGGATTTGTAGTCCATATGATGACAGTCCTTAGTGAAAGTGAATGATTCACAGCAATCTACAAGCCTGGATCACTGGCGATTGTGACAATGCCGAAGATAATGTCAGTGACTAAAAGGCATTATAAACGATACACAAATGAACACTCTATAGACTAACTTCTTTTGAGTCACTTCCTTTGACATTTTTTTTTCACAGAGATAACGTTAGTCCTGTTTTTAATAATAATAATAATAACAACAACAATCTGTCTATTTTGAAAAGAGGGCTGGGAGCACAATGTCATTTGAATTTACAATGACAGTCATCAAAATGGCACAATTTATGCACTTACTTTTTGTCTTGTTTTCAGTCCAAAGATCTAAAAAAAAAAAAAAAAAATTAAAATCTTAAATCAAGAAATGTTTTCTAGACAAGCAAAAAATGATTGTCTTATTTTCAGAAATAATGAGTTAAAATTAAGTGTGTTTTTCCTTAAAACAAGCTAAAGAAAATCTTGTTTTCAGTTTGAAACATAATTATTTTACTTACCCATTGCCCAATTATTTAGCTTTTTATTCAGGAATGCTTTTTAATTGAGAAAATTTTAGATATTTGGCCTAGTCGAAACAAGACGGGGTGGCTAGGTTGCTCAGTGTTCTAATGTTATCACTTGATTGAATAGGAGTTATCAGTGGTTATCAGCTGATAGATATGGGCCAGTAGGGGCCTTCTGCGTCTTCAAGTAGCCTCAGAAGTTATCATCTATCCACATGGTTGATCAGCTAAACTAATAGAGAAGACTCCAGATCCAGATCTGTTTTTATTTACTATTACTGTCACGTTAGGGTTTAGGATAGGGGTAGACGTTAATAAAATACAATTAATAGGAAGTTTAATTAATAATATAAATAATTCTCATGGTTAATCAGCTATACACTAATAGAGAAGACTTCAGATCCAGATCTGTTTTTACATTACTGTGACGGTTGGTTTTAGGATAGGGATAGACGTCATTAAAATACAGTTAATAAGAAATGTAATAAATAATATAAATATTTATTGTTAACTTCTGCAGCCGTATGCGATTATAGCTGATTTTCCATGTGGACGGATGAAAACAGCATTCTGAGCCCACTAGTAGATGCAGAAGGCCTCTACTGGCCCATATCTATCAGCTGATAACTACTGATGGTCGCTGGTTCGAGCCCTGCCTGGGTCAATTGGTGTTTCTGTGTGGAGTTTGCATGTTCTCTCAGTGTTCGCGTGGGTTTCCTTCAGGCTGAGGTGAATTGAATGAGCTAAATTAGCCCTGTTGTGTATGTGCGTAAATGCGAGAGTGCACGGGTGTTTCCCATTGCTGGGTTGTGGCTGGAAGGGCATCTGCTGCTTAAAACATATGCTGAATAAGTTGTCGGTTCATTCCGCTGTAGCGACTCCTGATAAATAAAGGGACCAAGCCAAAGGAAATTGAATTAATAAATGAAACAAGACAAAAATCAAGTAGAAAGGTCACCATGGATCACTGAAGAAAATTCCAATAAGGAAAAAAAATCTACATTTTGGATGAAGTGAGTAAATAATCATATTGTTTTTATTCTATTAGTGAACTATGTTTTTAAGAACCACCTCAACTGAATCGATTTGTGAGCTGCTCAATTGAGTCACTAAGACGATCCGAATCTATGGAACGATTCTTTCACGAATCGGGCATCGCAGATACCCTCCGCGACTCCTCCCGCCAGAGCTCCAGCTTCCCGACTCCTGAAGAGACCGCACCGGCCGCCCGTCATCCGCTGTCAACCGGAGCATCTCTCTCACATCCAAACACACACACTCACACACAACTAAACAGAACAGTCATTTCACTTATCGTTAAAGTGGTACACAAGACCACAACCCTGCTTTCCCGTCACACCGACTCATACTGTAAAACTTTAAACGCCGTCGTTATGGCTCTCTGAAAGATTCCCGCTTCACTCATAACTGCAGACTGACAACACAAGAACATTTCCGCCTGAAATCTCCATCGAAACATTTCTCGGGGATGTGAGACTTTCCACGTCGGGGATGTTGTTTTCCATCTTAATCGATACCTGAGACCAAGGGGTCAGGAGTTAAGCATTATTATTATTATTATCATCTGCTGTGGATCTCATCGCCTTTGAAGAACAGATCAAACTTTTATCACGGATTATTAAGGATGAGACGCTTATTTTGATGATCACAGTGGGATAATAAAGTACAGCGCGCATCATCACCGCACCTTCAGGATGTTCCGGCGAGGTAAGATCAACATTTTAGATTATATAATTGCGTGTTTTTTGCTGCAGTTCAAGCAGATGCACGATGCTAAAAGTAGGTTACATTTGGTTCCATTGCGCGCGTGACTCTTCCACGCGCATCTGAGTTTATATATCACAACTCTGGATGAGAGGTTTTTAACGTGCTTAGTTTTTGCGCCTTGAGATTTTTGTGTTTGCCTGTGCGCCGATGAAATATTAATACCCAGCGCGTAATATTATTCTTAAAAATAGACAACCGATGCCGCACTGCAGCTGACAACTACTAGAGCTTACGAACTGCATCATAACTAGTAGGATCTCATTAAAACACATAGTTAATGATCTCTTTTAAAGACTAGCCGAGGCGCTGCATGGCGACAGGCGCCCATGGGACCGGTGTTTGTGAACTCTGCTTCAGACCCACACGCACACACACACACACAGAGACTATGGATGCGTGTTGTCTATTTCAGTAGAATGTTCAGTGTGCTTCTGGCGTGTTGCATGGTATTTGAGATCAATACTGTCGCTCTACTGTCAGGATATCAAAACATATCTTGCTCAGAATAATTCAAGAAACATCCAGGTCATGAAAATGAATGGATCAACAATCAACACAAGTGTGTCCACAGAGAGGTGCTGTTTTACCTCCAGTTGGAAGTCAAGCGTGTCATATTTTAGGATTATACATTATATATATATATATATATATATATATATATATATATATATATATATATATATATATATATATATATATATATATATAGATAGATAGATAGATAGATAGATAGATAGATAGATAGATAGATAGATAGAGTTTTATCTTTGTTAGTAAATGAAGAGCTCAGATGCAAAAACCTCTAAGTGCCATTTGGAATTATCTTCTACATCAAGCTTCTTTTTTTTCATCCCCTTATGTTTATGTTCAGATTTTTTATGTTATCTATTGCTTGCCATAAAAGTGCAATTACTGAACCTAGACACTGGAGCCTGAGAAAAATGCTAATTTTAGAAGAAAATTTTAGATGGCACTTAGAGGTTTTTGCATTTGAAGTCTTCAAATATTTTTTATGTTATAAGTTGTTGTGGATGAAAATAGCAGAGGTTTAGTGATCCTGGAATGCTCAAACACACAGAGACTCCTGAAACAATTTTCCCACAAATCAAATCACATTCATCAACATTGTTGTTTTGCATTATGAGGTATTTGTGGCACTGGTATTTATTTTTATTTACGGCTATAATTATATTGGTTTTGTAAAAGTCAAGGTTTGACTGTTCTTACGGTATATACAAGTTTGTTTGTTTTTTGGAGGGGCAATGGTATCTCCAGCCGAAAAGGCCCCTCCACATCAAAAGCTACTGTTATAAACATTTCTAAATAAATATATTTCTTATAATAAAATATATTGTGTTCAATGAGGAAAAAAGTTCTTTTTACCACTCTGTTAAAATAGTTGGGTTAAAAATACCCCAAAATATAACCCAACTAAAGGTTATTGTAGCACCTTCCCAACTGGGTTATTTTAACCCGATGCATTGAGTGCACGTTTGTATCATCAATATTTAAGAATGCTGGTGAAACGAATATAAAAAACACGACAAGGAGAGGTAACTTGATAAAAAAAACCTATATTATTGCACTAGAACTTAAATTTTAGAATGGAAAAACAAAATTATGCACACATATTAATACAGCTTTTCTGTGTCAGTTAAATCAGTTGACTGTCGAAATTAATAATTTTAAACTGGTTGAGTTATAACAAAAATAACCAAATAAAGGTTATAAATAACCCAACAAAGTATCAAATATTTAACCCAACTGGTTGAGTTATTAATAAAAACCCTAATAAAGGTTAAAAATAACCCAAGAAAGCACCAAATATGTTTAACTCAACCATTGGGTTAAATAAATAACTCAACATTTTTTAGTGTGCAAGACATTTAAAAACAACATATTTTAGAGAAGTAAATAATTACAATCCTGTGATACCATAATATTTTTATCCAAGTTTATCATACTGTCAGAACTCTGGTAAAATAGTTAGGCCAAAAATACCTTAACATATAGCCCAACTATCATAGCACCTTCCCAACTATGGGTCATTTTAACCCAATGTATTGGGTTATATAATTAAATGTTATTTTTTTCCATTCTAGCATTACTATTGCTGCTATTACTAGAACTATTATTAATGTTATAATTATGACAGTGTAAATAAATTACAGTTTTCAAAAATATTGAAAATGCTATTTTCCATTACATTTTAGTTCTAGACACTTTTGTTAAAATAAATCAAGAATCACAAACAATGAAGAAACAGAACAAAGTGCAGACAGTTATAAACTGTGCAAGCAGAAAATAACGTATTGGTTGAACAGAATATGGAGCTCTGTGTGCTGTAGAGACTGTCAAGCAGCTGCAGCAGGCTTCACTCAGTGTCCACAATGTACAATACATTTGAACCACATCCAAACGCTTCTAAAAGATGGTCTTGGTTGGTGAAACGGATATGAAAACACGACACGGAGAGGTAAACTGATAAAAAAATAACTACAGTATTATTGGGCTATAGTTTAAACATTAAACGCAGAAATAACATTACGCATGTATATTAATACAGCTGTTCTCTGTCAGTTAAATCAGTTGATAGTTGAAATTCAAATTTTTAACCCAACTGGTTGAGTTATTAAATAAATAACCAAAAAAAGGTAAAAACAACAACAAAGCACTAAATATTTAACTCAACCATTGGGTTAAATAAATAACTCAACGTTTTTAGGGTGAATCTCATACCGACCCATGCCTACAATGGGTATAATGTTCAAAGCTGAAATGCGTAATAGTAAACTGATGCAAAGTGAGCAAATGTAAAACTGATACTGTTTATACATTAATTGCAAAAGAGTTTAAATGTGCCACGTTATATAGAATTTGTTGAGTATTTTTGTTAGTCCTAATTAGTCAAAATTGTCTGCTATACTGTCCTTTAGGTATGTGCAAGATTTTCTTTAGTTTTTTTTTTAGGACAGCAGTATCTACAGCAGAAAAGATAACCAAAGATCCAGTTTTAAATAGTAAAGAAATCTGTGTTTTAGAAAATAATGAAGACAGCAGAAGTCAATGATTCATTTAGCCTGACATGTTTACTGCTCCAAAATATTTGAAATGTTTCTTAAAATAAAATGTATTGTGTTCAAAGGGAAAACAAAAGTTTATTTTTATTTTTTTATTGTTATTATTATTATTTTTTACCAGGACATTTAAAAAGAACATATTTTAGAGCAGTAATCACAACATCGTGAAACTGGGATATTTTTATCCAAGGTTATCATACCGTCAGAATATTATACTGGCCCATGCCTAAATAAATTTGATTTAATTTCACATTATTAGATGAATAATTTTTCAATTTTAGTTTCTGAAAATCCTTTTATTTGTGTGTTTCTCACAAAAAAATATACCTTTTTAGTCACATATGAATCTTGACGCTCTCTGAAATCAGTTGATGGAAAGAAAAGCACGATTTAGTCAATTAATAATCCCGTCAACTAATGAGAACACGTTCAAAATGCAGATTGTGAGCACATTTTCAAAATCTCACCGGCACACAAATCAATCTTAATTATAATAAAAAATGTTAATTATAAAAAAATTGATTTCAATTAATATCTTCCAAGAACTACTTTCGTTTGCATATTTTATTTTTGTCAGCAGCTTTCAAGCTTGATGTTCTGCTATTATGTACCTGCCCTTAAAAAAAGCAAAGAAAAAACCTTCTTCCATCCAGTTATTTTTTTCTCCGAGGAGTGACAGCGGAGTCATAACACTTTTACTAATGCTCAGCCTGCAGCTTCAAACCAGCCTGCTCTGGAAACCGCTTCCTCATTTTCTTCTCATTACAAAAGAATGTGTGGGTTTGAGTCGAGGCAAGAGATGGGATGGAGAAAGAGAGAAGGGGGGATTTGTTTGTGCGCTTAAAGCATCGTGCATCAGCTGTGGCGCTGAGCCCCTCCTCGATGCAAGCGCACAATAACAGACAATGAAATGATAAGGAGTTATGACTGTTTATTGTTGCCGTTTGGAGCAGTAGGGGTCTATGCTTACAGCCCCGGGGCAGAGAAAAGGGTCTGCGATGCATAATAATGGTGAGCAGCACAGATGTGTTTACAGGAAGTCTTCGTCAAACAGTGTGAGGTTTCACTGTTTGCGAGGGTTGATGCTTCGCTCTTAACTGGTGACATGCTGTGGGTCAACAAAGTTTGCGATGGAACGGTGTGAAGTGGGTGACTGGGCGGTTCATTTAGTCTTGGATGCTAGTCGTTCATTCATTCATTCATTTTCTTTTCGGCTTAGTCCCTTTATTAATCAGGGTTCGCCACAGTGGAATGAACCACCAACTTATTCAGCATATGTTTTACGCAGTGGATGTCCTTCCAGCCACAAACTATGTCAGTGAACTATGAGGGCAAAAACATCAAATAAATAGATTAAATTATTGTTCATTAATTGTAATCGAGTTAAAATGTTTAATTAATTTATTAATTTTAATTTTAGGCCCCATCCCACCAGCTCTACCTTTTTAGATCAAACAAAATGTATTTCACAAAAAAAAACATAAATAAATAAATAAATCAACAACAACAGTGCCCTCTAGTGGATTTGTCATCTTAAACATGCAACAAAGTATAACCGGAGCAAAGCATTTTACGTTTCACAAAAATGTAGGCTGAGGCATGTATTTCTAATGAGCCTGGTTATTTTCAATATTTATGTATCCGACAGATACTGTCATCCAGAGGGACTTCATTCATGGTATATATTTTATTGGTTTGAGGCTTGAGCTTTCGCTGAAAATAAAACCTTTGACCTTGGTGTGCAGTTTCAGTGGAGTGAGATGCTGAGCTTTACTTTTCTGCCGTGGGGCAGACAGATAGACTGCATAGATTAATAGACAGAGAGGTCTTTAGATAGATAATCCATGTATGAAAATAGAT